CGATGCTTGTAATATTTATCGAGAACTAACTAAACATGACGAGACGAAATTGGAAGCATTAATTAAAATGGCAAACTTCTAATAAAATAATTTATTACTAAGCGATTGTGTTAGAGTAGCTAAAGCTAACAAACAAATAATAAGACGATTACTTTTAGCGACATGGTTGAAATGTTTAATAAATTCATAAAATTCTGATTAAAGATCGTACAGCAAGGCAAAACAACGCTTACTTATAGAAGTTTATAACACAATTCTTTACCTGTTTTTGTTTCATACTAAAACTAAAATGTTTTATTTAAAAAATTTTTCTAATAATGCATACGGCAATAACATCATTGAAAAGTGATATTCATTCATGTGACAAATACTTTTGTATTTAAAAAATTGGCCTAACGCCAATTATTTAACTATTGCTATGGTCTACATATAGGTTTGATTTAATTAATTGACCGACCACCTCAACGTGGTACATCACTATTCAAATATTGTATCTTATATTACAGTATTAACAATAAAAAATGTAAACAATTCAGCATGAATTTTTATTAATCGAATACTGAGTTAAATCATTACAAATTTAAAAAAATTGGTTTCTACTAGTTATTATTCCAACGTCTAGGATCACTATATGAATATGTTATTGTGATATACAGGTCTATATTTTACTGAACAATTTGAACATTTGATCTTTTTTTCCATTCTTGTGATCTCAGATGATTTTGGCATAAACCAACAATCTTTAGAATTATGATTGCAGTTCACATCTCTATGTGTCACAGATAAAAATATTAGCTACAAAAAAAACAATGAAAAAAAATAGTTTTATAAGGGGGCAATTTTAATGAATAAAAAAACATATCTAATTATTATTCATTAATCTTATTCTTAACTCATTTTGAATTTATTTTTTATATTAAAAACTAATTTATGATCCAATAAGTTTTGTTTATAACATCCGGATGTGTGTTTTATGTCTACAGATAGAAAATCATTACTTAAATGAAATCACAATTTAGAAGTAGGAATTAATTGTTATCTAATACAATTTTATTTAAACATTTATTATTATTTATCAATACTAAACAAACTATCAACTCCCTATAATATATACTCCTAATCAAAGCAAGAAACCTTTCTGCTTAAAAATATACCCTTAATGTTTAGATTTGTCTAGATTCATTGGGAGATTTGTAATTTCTATGTATAACTTTTGATGGATTGTAGTTTTTTTTATTAATACCAGATTAGGTCGTATCACAAATATAATACTTTCTTTTATTATCAAAAATATATTGAATGGGTAATAATAAAATTTTATCAATTTATTTCAATTAAAATATAAATTTTCATTGTTATTATATTTATTAGCAATTAATGCAACTAAACAGTATTCAATTCTGAAAATTTTATTTATTTCTTAGATATTGTTTTTATTTTTTCTGTGGCAAGAGATTTAATCTTAGAGTTTGTACTAGAAATAAGTTTTGAAAAAATATTAGATACTTCTTTATATTTTTTCTTATTGTAAAGTCCTAATGCGACTTTACTAGCAAGGTCTTCATTTTGAAAAAGTAAATCGTTGTAATTTTGATAGCAGTTTGCCATTTTAATTAATGCTTCCAATTTCGTCTCGTCATGTTTAGTTAGTTCTCGATAAATATTACAAGCATCG